AACGAATTGTAAGATGGCCGTAAAAATGCATTATTTGTTTAATTTGATTCATCCCTATGATGTGAGTGCATTAATCCTATAACGTTTTGGAGGGTTGAGTTTTTCAATAAACTTTTAATAAAGTATGTAGCTCTTATGAGTGGGGTGTCGTTGTTATAGGAGTACCCTTAACAGATTTTACCTATATGAGCGTGAGAGTGAGGCCGTTCTCTATGACGATATAGGGCTTATCCTCAAAATACATTCACGAAATACTGGGATCAGCACAAGGCCTTAAAGTGCTAACCATTAAAGCTCACGTCTAACACCTGGATAATTATGTGTGGATAATAATTCTTTATTTCCTTTTAGCATTAGAGATCAAGTCGGAGACAACTACTAATGCTGGAGTAGAGATTATTGTTTCACTAGTAAAGGTTCAATGCATAATCACACCTTTATGATGCATAATTATCTTTCTTTTGGCTAATTGGTTTTGAGTATTTTAAATATTAAAATGAGTGGGGGAATGTTGTTGCATTTTAATATTTAATTAAATATGAGTTTTATTTCTATATTTAATTTAAGATTTTAAAGTTTGAGAGGTTTTAACAATTTGTGAACAAAACGTATTTGGAATAGAGAGTTTAAAAAATCTTATTTATTTTTTATTAAGTTACTAAATCTATATCTCGTATAAATACCTCTATAACCTCACTTTCAATACACACCAACACAACCTACAATCCATACTCTCTTATCTATTTGCTCTATTCTATACTTTGCTCTTTTAAAAGCAATTGGCCAAAATAGGGGTGTTTTTTGTTGTGGAGCTTTGAGCTTAACCTCTAGTTGCAGGGTGGTTTGAGCTACACAACGTTTCAATTGGGTTGTTGTATCCTGGAGGGGACATGCTAGAGAATACATGTTGCATCGGTGGTTGATAAAGAAATACACACCATAGAGGGCTTGAATCTCCTTAAAGAGAGCGAGATACCCGCGTCTCAACCTAATTGATTACGTGTTTGTTTCTCGATATTTACTCCATTTACCTCTGTTATTTGTAATCCCCCATCACTATGCATGACTGGATTCTTAGAAAGCTTGATCACTTAGTTGCTATCACAAAAAAAAGTGGTTAATTTATCAGGACTCTGGTCCAATTTTGACTGCACTCTTCTTAACTAGATTGCTTGGCATGCACACGAGGATGCAGCAATAAACTTAGACTCTGTTGTGGACAAACTCAGTAACTGGTTGCTTTTTTGAAGACCATGAAACTGCCCCTGAGCTTAATAAGAACACATAGCCTGAAGTACTATTTCCTGTATTTCTAGCATAATCATCGTCTGTGTAAACGACAAGTTCATCACCTCCTCCTTTCTTGTAGAAGATTCCAAAATCGAGGAAAGATCTCCAGAGATTCTTTTCTCATTCCATTCCAGTGGCTCGACCAGTAAGAGATAAGAGGGCTTATGGAGAATGTGGTCAGAAATCCATAATAGAGTCCGACTACAACGACCGAATTGATTATCTTCATGCATAAGGATACTAGATTATCGAGTATAAAACTCTCTTCACCACCTGTAAATGCAACTGAGTCGGATTTTCCATATATCTACTACCCAGACTTACTGCGAACATCATATCCGGTCGTGTTGCAGTAAGATACATGAGACTGCCAACTACTTGTTGTCTTATCCACAACAACTCCACCTTCATCCTTAGTAGGCTTAAATCCTTGAACAATTGGATTATGAACAGAATTACTTTTATCCATTCCAAATCATCTCAATACCTATGATTCATACTTATTTTGGCTAATAAAAATGTCATCAGTCTTTTGCGAAACTTCTAGACCAAGAAAATACCTCATCCTCCCAAGATCTATCATGTCAAACTCATTTTTCATGGAATTTTTGAACTCAATCACTAGCAGCTGATCATTACCACAAACAATTAGATCATCAACCTATAAACTGACAATTAACACATTCTCTTCTTGCATTTTAACCAACAAATTGTGCTCGTAATCGTACTTTTCAAAACTTTCTTCACTGAAATAAGCATCTATTCAACTGTACCAAGCACGTGGAGCTTGCTTGAGCCCATATCGTGCTTTCTTCAGTTTATGCACTTTCTCCTCATTTCCGTGCTGAATATAACCACTTGGCTATTCCACAAAGACATTTTTAGATAAGTCACCCATGCAGAAATGCAGATTTCACGTCCAGTTGGTAAATAGGCCAACCCCTATAAGCTGTGAATGCTACAACCAGCCTAATTGTTTCCATACGCGTAACTGGTGCAAATACCTCACTCTAATCTACTCCGTACTGCTGTGAATACTCATTCACTATAAGTCTAGCCTTGTATTTATCAACCTCTTCATTTTCATTAAACTTTGTTTTATAAACCCACTTTACTCCTATTTTCTTTGCACCCTTTGACAATTCTGTCAATTCCCCTGTATTATTTTTCTGGATTGCTTCTATTTCTGCATCCATTGCTCTCCTCCACTTTTCACTTTTAACAACTTCGTAAAACAACATATGATCATCAACTGCAGACATAAAAAAAGTACGCTTCGTTTTCTTCCTCTGAAAGTCTTTCTCCAGTTTCATAGTCTCGCATCCAAGCCAGTTGAACCCCTATTTCTCCTTTCATTTGCATGAGGAATAGCCTATCCAATTGATGCATCAGAGACATAATTCTCTACATATGTGTCAACTTCGAAGTCACCTACCTTTTCATCTTCATTAGGCTCAACTGCACAGTTTTCTTGATCCTCCATTCTAAATCACAACATAGTTGCATTTTCAAACTTTTGATCCCAATCCCAAGCCTTATCTTGTTCAACCACATGTCCCTACTTACTATAATTTTCTTCAAATTAGGATCATAAAGTCTGTAAGCCTTTGACTCCTCACTAATCCCCAATAATACACAGCTCATGATATTATAATCTAATTTAGTTCTTTTAGAACCAGATATATGAACATGAGAAATGCAACAAAAAACACGAAAATACTCAACTAAGGGCTTTGTTCCACTTTATGCTTCTTTGAGTTCGATCTTTAACAGTAAGTGTTGGACATTGATTCAGGACATGTACTGCCCAATTGACTACTTTAGGCCAGAACGTTTTTGGAATTTTCTTTGCAGAGAGCATGTTGCATACCATATTCATGATGGTTCTATTATTGCACTCAGCTACTCCGTTTTGTTGCAGCGTATATGCAATTGTCTTCCATTTGTTACTTCTGCTTCATAGAGTCCTAGATGATTAATCTTTTCTCCAAATGATAAACATTGCATTTGTTACCTCTGCTTCATAGAGTCCTAGATGCTTTTCGATGTATCTTTGTTAAGAATTGTTTCAAGGATTGAACGATCAAATGCTTGGAATAGATAGTTCTTTGCCTTCGAGTCGTTTAGCTTCTGCTCCTCAACAAGTTTCTTCTTTGCTTCTGACGCACCACCTTCTACTGCCGCAGGTACCCCTTTCTCTCCTATAATCCAATATTCTTTGGATCTCAAAAAATTTTCCATGAGCATTGCCTAGTGGTCATAGTGTCCATCAAATTTCGGTACAGCCAGTTGCACGAACAAGCTTTCTATTGCCATCGTGAATCACTTAATCACGTAGAGAGCTGATACTTTCTAGTTTAATTAGACCATGTTAGAGGTCTCTGATACCATATGTTAAATAAAAAGAGCCTCTGAGAAGACAAATAAGAAAAGAGAAATTGGGACTGATTTGCAACTTTATTGAATGAGACATATGACTTTATGAAGCCATACAACATAACAAAAAAAGAAGAGAGAAAGAAATGGAGTCCATGACTCTAATAACATTTAAATATCCCTAAAAATATGACATTTACTGGCTGATCTTCCTAAAAAAAAGATAAACAGATTCTAAGCAAATCCCAACATAAAATAGTGTTTTCATGTAAATTATTATTCTTCTTTTTTTTCCTACTTTATGTATAATTTATTTGGAAATTAAGGGCAGTTTCCAAATTTGGATACCTATTTTATAAAATGGTCAATAGTATCACATTTTGCACAAGCAAATCAATTTTTACCAGATTTCAAAAATTGATGACTTTCCAAATTTGCACTTATACATATTTTTTGTCTCATTTGAACCACTTGACACACTTTAAGGATTTGAACCAATTTACTTTTCCCACATTTAATGGATTCACTAGATTTAATTTTATATTTCCATCAACTAAATTTTAGTCCTTAATTAGTAACATTTCCCAGCATAATGACAAATTGATTTCATTTACAATATTGCTAAGGTGGACAATTTCTCATTTTTCCAAGCTTTACCCTGAAACAATGGATTATGTAATAATCACATTTCTATACAATGGTAATTGAGACCAAAACAAAGTCTACAACGATTTTAAAGTCACTCAGGTGCGAGTTCATAACGACTCTACTTTATCTCATCTCATCTCATCCAATGCATTACCATAATATTCATTTACCTAATGAAGAGAAAGTTGCACACCTCTCGTTGTACATGTAAACAAGTATGTTATTATTAGGCTATCTGAAGATAGAGATATAACATGGGTTCTAACGATTCTGTTGAAAGAGTTGGGCAACGATTGCTGCATCTTTGTGGATACTGTCTCGATAGATATGAACATTTACCCAAGAAATGAGAGTGCAACACCTCCACTATAAGTGTTGACATTAACCACAGAAACTGAACGATTGCTGCATCTTTATGGATATTGTCTTGAGGAAGATTCTAAAGCACATGTTGATGAATTTATTGAAAAAGATCGCAAAAATTTTGATTTTGATGAAAGTTTGAAGCACCTCAAAAGCCAAACAAAGTTAAATCGGAGGCATGCTAAATTGGTGGAGTTCATCAAGACATTTCCTTATGTCATTCATTACAAAAAAAATGTAAGGACAATGTAGTGGTCGATGCATAATCAAGAAGGTATGCTCTATTTTCTTCACTTAGTGCAAAAATTCTTGGTTTTAAGCATATGATTGAGTTGTACAAAGTTGAGAAATCTGAATTTTATGATGTGTATGTGCAATGTTTGGAAGGGAAAAATATACATGAATATCTTGTGTTTGATGGCATGCTTTTTAGGAAAGGTAAGTTTTGTATTCCTAAGTGTTCCATTCGGGAGTTGCTTGTAAACGAGGCTCATAGGGGAGGACTTAAGGGACATTTTGGAGAATTTAAAACATATAGCATGCTGTGTGAACACTATAAGGAAGGATGTGAACAAAGTGTGCAAGCAATATTTCAAATGTAAAGAGGCTAAGTCTAAGACTCAACCACACCACCTTTAGAAGTTTCTAGTGAACCGTGGGTTGACATTAGCATGGATTTTCTTTTGGGGTTACCAAAAACTAGAAGACATCATGATAGCATTTTTGTGGTGGTTGATAGGTTTAGTAAGATAGCACATTTCATTCCATATAACAAAACAGATGATGTTACTAATATAGCTAATATTTTCTTTAGGGAAGTGGTTAGACTACATGGCATTCCTAAAACCATTGTTAGTGATCGGGATGCTAAGTTTTTAAGTCATTTTTGGAAAGTTTTATGGGGCAAATTGGGTACCAAGCTTTTGTTTTCTACAACTTGTTACCCATAAACTGATGGTCAAACTGAGGTGGTTAATAGAACATTAGGGGCCTTGCTTAGATCATTCATTTCTAAAAACCTTAAGTCTTGGGAAGAGACTCTACCTTTTGTGGAGTTTGCATGTAATAGACTTGTACATAACATGACTTTAATCCTCTAACTCCTTTAGATTTAACACCCTTGCCACCTAATATGTTTACAAGTGATGCAGCTTTGTCTAAAGCCGAATACATCAAAACATTACACAAAGAGATCAAGGAACAGATTGAGAACAAGAATCGAAAGCTAGTAAGTCGCGAGAACCAAGGGAAAAAGAAAGTTATTTTTAACCCAGGTGATTGGGTCGGGTTCATCTACGAAAGGAATGGTTTCCAGATCAGAGGAAGTCAAAACTTCAACCGAGAGGAGATCGTCCCTTTCAAGTGCTTGAATGGATCAATGACAATGCGTACAAACTGGATCTTTGAGGTGAGTATAATGTAAGTTCTACTTTTAATGTGGCTGATTTGACTCCTTTTGATGTAGGAAATGAAGACCTTGATTTGGGGACAAATCCTTTTAAAGAAACGGGGGATGATGCAAATCCAACCACGGATCCATTGAATGTACCCGAGGGACCAATTACAAGAAGCAAAACAAAGAAGATTCAAGAGGATTTCATATTACATCTTCAAATGCTAGCTCATGCACATGAGGAGACAAAGATTTCTGAGGCCAAAATTCTTTACAATGTTACTTTAGTCAATAAGAGAATGAAGCAAAGATGGCACATGAAAAGTTGTCTATTTTGAGGGATGGCATGTAGGACAAAAAAGTGTGCAGATTTGTGAACAGGTGCTTTGCAGATTGCACCTCTTGGGAGTTTGTGATGTCAAAGCTTGTCAAATCTCATCCAAATGTAAAGCGCCTCCTACATGTGATTTCCAAGACAATTTAAAGCAATTCTACATTTTTGGATTTGCATTTAGTTGTCTAGTTTGATGTGCAATCAAGTTTTAATTTGCATGTCTTATGTTCTACAATTTGCATTAAATAGGATTTTGAAAGACTTTTAGTATTCCTTTGTTGAACGACCCTTTGGCCTATTTAAAGGATTGTAATCACATTGTTTTGGCAGATTCAACATATTGAAATTCAAGAACTTTTGTTCTTTAACACATTTCGTGTTGCTTCTTTCAAATCTTGCTTTAGGTTTGATGTTAAACCGATTCATTAGATTAGTCTCAATTAAGCTAATTCTGGAGTGAGTCGTCTTAGGATCTAGGAGTGACCATCGTAGATTCTAAGTCCGATCATAGAGTGATTCATCTTATAACCTTACTCTTGGTTGGAATCATTCGGTAAGTTAGTTGTTTTTGTGAGAATTTGCAAGGATCGTAGAAGGACCTCTAGCTTTGTAAACCTGAACAACCTTGGCACTTATCAGAAGGTTATATGAAGTCAAAAGAAGACAGAACTTTCTAGAATAAGTTTAGATTTAAGCTATAATCGAAATTTATGTTATATTGTTTTGGACTTTATGTACTAGACCGATTGTAAAATCAGTTTTTATTTAATATAAAAATCTAAGTTGATATGATAATTTTGAATATGTGTTTATGGTGTTTGATTTAAATTTGAAGAAATGTTTTTGGTGACGATTTTTTGACCTTCGACGACGATTCCTTTCGTCTCCAAATCTGAAAATTCTTGTAGTGTTTTCTAGTCAACTTTGCACTAAAAAAAGATTGTGCTTTTCAAAGCAAGAGAGAATTGAATAAGGTAGTTTTACTTCAAAACCTTAAAAGGAAGTTTTCAATTCAAAACGGTAAAATCCAACAAAAAAACAGTTGGTATTAAAATGCCTCCATAGATCACGCAATTGGTACTTTTTCTCGACTCGTTACCAAAATGGTAAATTATGGATATTATTTATTAGAAAAATCGTAGATGAATATAGTTGTTCTATTGATGTTGTACAAAATGATCATAGCAGGCAACATCAATGATGGTTAGTGAGTATGCGAAATCAATCATGAACATGAAAGGTAGTTGTACTCCTCGCGACATTATTAACTATATTCGAAAAAAAAATCATAAGATTAATATTAGTTATTGCAAAGCATGTAGAGGAAGAGAGAATTAGTTATGTGGTCATCCAAACAGTCATGTGCACTCATTCCGTCCTTCGCAACAAAGTTGATGAAGAAGAATCCATGTACCGTGTATATACATTCATTAATACTTTCCAATTTCAATATATGTATATATTTACCAAACATTATACTTCAGGGACGACACAGCCTATGAAGTTGAGGTAAAAGGCAAATTCAAATATATATATATATATATATTACACAGCCTATGAAGTTGAGGTCAAAGGCAAATTCAAATATATATCTTTCTTTATGAGAGCGGCTCTTTGTGTCACAAAGAGTTGTCTTTGAAACCTCTCTACTTATCAGCTAGAGAGTCAAGTGTAAGTGCATACTGTACAAGTAATAATTGGAAGTATTCCAACTTCGTCTCTACATGAACTAGTTTTTCTTTTAAAAGAAGGTGATAAATTGTTTGAATAAGAAATTGATTTATGACAAAAATGGCTGAGAGTGTTTGGTAACAATACTTAAAATAAGAAAGAATAGATTATGGAAAAAACCAACTCCCCATTACCACCTTAGCCTTGAAAAAAATACTAACTAATCAATGTGCCTAGCGCATCATCCCTTTTACATGCAAATTGAGTTTTACTCCTATTCTATACCGCTTTTAGTTTGTTTAGAAGTTTAGGTTAACATTTATATATATATATATATATATATATATATATATATATATATATACACACACGAAATGTCAAAATCCTAAATACATTAAACTCCAACTCTCATATTACCGGTAAGAGATCCTATGTTTCTTATTTCTAAATAACTTCTCGTTTTATCTTGACGAACTCAGTTTAAATCTAACTTTTTCATAATCAAACTTAAACTAGACTGATTTGAACAAGTAGCCAGCAAGTAAATCAACTATGAAAATTAATCAATTAAGATAAGCAATGAAGGCACAAACGTCTTGCTCCTTGATAGTTGCAGTTTGGATAAAAATTAGACTAAGACATTCATAGAAGGGTTGAAAAGATAATTTAGCTCATCATAGATATGGAAGAAATGGAAACACACAGAATTTGTTTAAAAGTAGACATTTGTATTAAATTTAGAACTTGATACAAAAATTAAATAATAAGAGGAATGCTGGAATTTTAAAGAGACTTGTAAAAAATAAAAACAATTAAAAGCTAAAGAAAATTTTAAGAAAAGAATTAAAACTTAACGCAAAAAACACAAAACAATTGAACAAAATTCTAAAAGAGAATTCAAAAGCTGGAACGAGATAAGATGAGGTCTATTGGAAGCTGCATTTATAGGGTTGGAGGTTACACTTTACTCCTAAATGGTGGGAGGTTGGAATTTGTTGAGAAATTCATGGGAGTTGGAATTTGTTGGAGAGAATTTGGGAGGTTGGAATTTGTTGGAGAGACCCTTGAAAAGTTGGTAACTAACTTGAATAAGTAATTTTAACTTCCATTTGCACACCCCATAGAAGAATGACTTGGGGATGAAGACTTCTCAAAAGGCTTGGTCAAACTAAACAAAAATGCTATGTTTTCACGTTCTGGGCAAGGATGCGCCGAATAAATGTGTCGGTAGAAAATCTGGAAATTATGTGGTTGGCGCATTAGACTATCAAGCTAAGATTCTGCTGGAAGTCAATATGTGTGACGCATCTTACCAACATTCCTTATTTTTCTCACAAAACACACATATTGCATCATTTTACTTGCATTTACCTAAGTCTAAGTGCCCAAGTTTTAAACACAGAATATACACATTTTCACCTAATTTTATGCATGAAAATAATATGTTTTCAACCTTGAAACGACTCTAATCGCGCATGATAAATACAATTTTTAGCCCTTAAATCAAAGCTTAACCGGAGTGTGCAAAAAGGAGGATGAGAGGAATATGAAGAAATTTTTCAAATGACAAGGTTAGAAACTCAATAATGATATTTAACCTCCTGCCTAAGAATTTTAAATTTTAGATTTTAAATTTTAAAGATTAGAAAAAAACTATTAAATTTCATAATCTACGTTAACAAATTTTTAATAATTTTTTTATTTATCAATTTTCAAAATTTGATTTTAAAATATAGAGCATCAATTTTTAAATTATATTTTAGTGGTTTAAATTTCATTCTTATAGTTACAATGATTCTCTAATTAAGATTAGTTATATTTTTGTTAATCATTAATKGTTTAAAATCCCTAAAATTAAGCTCATACCTAATTTGTTAAAGACATATATTTGTCTAAAATATTGTTCAAGATTCTAAAACAAATGCCACGTAGTCCTTTGCATCTTGGTCCTTCCTACATCAGCCCCAATTTTCCTCTCTAAAATCTTCGGGCAAGACGTTGATATACACAGAAGGCCCATTTATTTCCAATGGGCCCATTTCAAAAAGGCCCATTAATTGGTAGAGAGGCGGCACGTGTCATCGGCAAAATCTCCGTCTCCTCCATTTTACTCCGTCTTCGGCATCGGCGGTGACGAACGGAAGCACCACTCAGTTGCAGAAGCTCTGAAGAAAGTGGCCATGAATATTTTCGATTCGAGAAGACCTACGATCAAGCTATGGCACGCCAAGAAATCCAATTCACTGTTCCGATTCTCTCGTTTTCCTCTCTCTGCCCTCGCTCCACTCTTCTGTTTCCTTCTTCTCCTCTTCGTAACCTACATCTCCTCCTCCTTCTCTTCCTCTTTCTTCATATCCTCCACTGCATTTTCGACTACTACTTCGCGCCGATGCAACTCCCGGATCTTAGACCTGGGCGAGAGATTTCTGTTCTACGCGCCCCACAGCGGGTTCAGTAACCAGCTTTCGGAGTTCAAGAATGCGATTCTGATGGCCGGGATTCTGAACCGGACTCTTGTTGTTCCGCCGATTCTGGATCACCATGCCGTTGCTCTCGGTAGTTGTCCTAAATTCAGAGTTGTGGATCCTGGGGAGATTCGGCTTGCGGTTTGGGAGCATATGCTGGAGCTTCTTAAGGATGGAAGGTAAACATTCTTCCCCTCTGTCTGTAGATATTGTATATTTCCAATGTCTTGCTTTTTCTGGAACTGGTGAATGAATCAATTGCTTCCTCCGCGTTCGTCACTCCTAAATCAAATAGTCGAACCATTTTGGCTGATTGTAGTGTAGGGTTTCTGAAAAGGAAACTTGATCTGTATTCATCTCCACAGCTTCGGTAACGAAAGCCCATTCGCTCGATTTTACTTCGGTTGAACAATAATTGTTCAAACTTGTGAAGCGGTAGCATAGGCGAAACATGGCAGCCACCCTTTATGCAGTTTGATCATTTGCATTTCTTTAGCGTTTCAAGTGACTGGAAGATAGAAATGAAAAGGAAGAAAAAAATAAAAGCTCTCCTCGTGTTTTTGCAGAACAGTTTCTGTTCTCCCTTCTATAATCTGTCAACAGAGACTCTTATTTAGTGCCATGGCAATTCCAGCTTTAGTTTACTTTTTCCATTATTTTCTTCTGTGACTGATTTAACAAGGAAGTTGAGGAAATAATTCCATTATAATATTTTATGTGACATTAGCCATGTATTTCAATGTTGTGGCAGGTATGTCTCCATGGCGGATATCGTGGATATTTCACCATTAGCTTCTTACCCTTCTGTTAAAGCCATAGATTTCCGGACCTTTGCCTTCTTATGGTGTGGGGTGAACCTGGAAAGTTTTTGTTCCAATGAATTTCGTGAGCAGTCCCCTTTTTTGTATAGTTTAAAGCAATGTGGACGTTTGCTAGCAGGGCTTGATGGCAATGTGGACAAGTGTTTACATGCTGTAGATGAAGATTGCAGAACTACAGTGTGGACTTACCAAAATGGTGAAGAAGTTGATGGGGCTTTAGATTTGTTTCAGCCTAATGAACAACTTAAGAAGAGAAAGAAGATGTCATATGTCAGACGCCGTCGAGATGTATATAGAACCCTCGGATCTGATTCTGAAGCTGAATCAGCTACTGTTTTGGCATTTGGAAGTCTTTTCACTGCCACATACAAAGGTTCGGAACTCTCTATTGATATCCATGAAGCTCGTGGAGACCAAAGAATTAGTTCTTTGATGAAAAACATTGAGTATCTACCATTTGTCCCGGAAATCTTGAGTGCAGGGAAAGAGTATATTGACAGGACCATAAAAGCTCCATTCCTTTGTACTCAACTAAGATTGTTAGATGGGCAGTTCAAAAATCACTGGAAGGCTACTTTTCTGGCCCTCAAACAGAAACTAGACTCTATATTGCAGAATGCCAAGGAACCTATTCATGTTTTCGTGATGACCGATCTTCCCGAGTCTAATTGGACCGGAAGCTACCTAGGGGATTTGGCTGGTGACTCGAATCACTTCAAACTATTTTTCCTCAAAGAACACGACGAATTGGTTCTACGAGCGTCCAAAAAAGTGATGGCTGTAGGACATGGCTTCAGATTAGCATCCAGTGCATCTGGTACCGGCACAATTCATGATATGAAGAAAAAATGTGCTTCTGAGAGATTACCGGATATTCTCTTATACATTGAGGAAACTGTCTGCAGTTGTGCCTCACTTGGTTTTGTTGGTACCGCTGGATCCACAATTGCTGAGAGCATAGAGCTGATGAGAAAATATGGATTGTGTTCTGGTCAAAATTTAACCCCATCTTGACATTTAGACTTCAAGCTTAAACTCATCAGAACTTCCACTGAAGTTATTCTGTGTCAACCTAATATTTTTAGACCATCACGACCTTACATGAACAGAATTCTAATATCTCTGGATCATTGGACCGAGTCAAAGCTGATGTACATGGATTGAGAATGTGCATAACCATTGGATTCTGCTCGGCTTGTCATGAATTGAAGACTGCTTTCCTAGCAATTCTCTAGTCTCGTCTAATCCCGTGACTAATGGCGACCTTACCAAGATGGCCAGTTATTGATTCGAATCTACCGGCGCCTCAGTCAGTTGGTTAAAGTATACATGGAATGGAACAACATCATATGAAACTAATGGTTGGTCCCTTTTCCCTCTTCCAAATGCTCATGTTCACATCTTTCAGTGTTTATTATTTTGAATAAGAAAGCATCCCTCTTCCAAATATAATGTTAATCATCTTCCAGGAATGAGATTGCTTGCAAGGATATGGATGACAGGAGGGATACACACTACTGCTTCGAACCCCATGATTCAGATAATACATGTAAGATGAAATTTTTAAACATCATTTTCAACTTTTCTCTTGTTTAGTACACGTAAAATTCTCACATTTTATAATTTTAAAAAGAATAATACAAAACTCTTTGTAAATCAAAGGTTTTTATTATTGTATATTATGCAACTTTTTACCTGACTTCTTCAATCCCATTTGAGACTTTTGACTTTTTTCATCCTATTGAGATGTTCTTGGAAATTACATCCACCCATTTGGATAAGCCTAAAATTGGTGTTACTTGCACCGATTAATCACTGTCAAGTTGATGATATATATTTTAATTAGTTGAGTTATGTTGAGCTTGATTTTTTATTTTTGTTGGGTGAATTATTACTAACATTTGAATATAGGTTTTCTAACACAGACTTTTCTCTTTGTGGCATTTCAATTTTACAAAGTAGGAGAATTGATAGTGACAACACGTTTTCGATCATCTCTGAAACCACCTCCCTAATTTAAGTGCAGAGTTTGGGAAATCACTTTAATTCTAATATGAAATTGTATAGATAACAAGTTTATAGGGCAAATTTGTAGGAAACCAAACACATCTGAAAATTTCTCAATTGTGTTGAATAAATTTCAGAAGATGGGAACTTCAAGGAAGTGGAGTTCAGTTGTTCTCGGAAACACTTCTCACCAATCATTAATACAGTGTTAAATATAA